TATCCGATCATACCCTCTTCGCCAAATAGAAAAAAAAAAAAACCGTGAAATTAACAAATCGTAAAATTAAAAGAGCGTACATCGTCGTAACATCATCACCCAATAAATTCTAAAACACCAGAGGCGATCGTATCGTGACACGATAATCGTTCGTTTCGCAGGTACTTAGGCTTGGTCTACTTGCTCTTGTTACCCTGAATACGTTATTACGCCGGTTTCTCGATTACGTGCTCGATTTTCCCCTCTATCAAACAGTGAAATTGACCATACACGCGCGCGTGTATGTGTGCAATCGCAAACGAAACCGAAATGCGATTCCATACATGGCGTATCGTAATACAAGTTGATACAAATCGTGATGCGGTGTACCGAGCGGAATATATATATCGTTATTTCATAATGGCCGCGGGTGGTGCGCTCGTCGCATATGATCGGGGCGAGTTACGAAAGGAATTGGCCGACCTCGTGTCCCACGCGGGAAGCTAACGTTTCGTCGCGATTGGTAACGACCTGGTTGGTATTAGATTGGACGGGAGCCATGTCCGTGAGGCGAAACGGGGGCCAGTCATGGCAAAAATTAATTATAACAGGGATGAGGATCAAAGAAACATCGGCTTTCGACTCTTGCTGAATTATTCAAGCTGCGTCGAGACGTTTGCAAATAAATCGATAATTCGATGGTTATTTATACTTATTGTTTACTGTTAAATGGATAATATATCTCGTTGCAAAAGAGGTTATTGGTATATGGTGATTTAATTAAATTTCTATAAAATTTTCTATTGTTAAATTCATAAGTTTGATTAAGTTTTTCACGATGAAATGAATTTGATAATGTGAATGTTAAATATACGAAGTATGCACAATTGAAATTAAGGTCGATAGTATACAGGTAGAGATTTTAAATTTTTAAGTTAAGTAAGGGGAGTTTAATTTGCTTTATTGGAAAATTTACATTTAGAGGGGAAGCGTTTACGTTGGAAACGAAGTTGGAAACAAATTAGTAGGAACGTTATCGTTACCATTATTTCTAGCTAACGCTTTCCCAACCACGGACATCACTTTTCCCGCGACACAATTTACAATACCGAATCAAAAGCAAATTGCTGTGCGTACCGCTCGGCCAGTTCGCATGCGTGCGGCTTACAAATGCCCGACGATGGCTCCCAATTACGTAAGATTATGACATCTATGACACAATCGTGTGCATGCGTGTGCGTAACGCCCTCCTTCCGTGACGGCCGTCAACGTCCACCGACGCAGCTCGCTTTAAACTCTTTTTATTCTCTTCTTCGATTCTTCCTTTTCTACCCTTGAACCGTTCTTTTGTGATTTAGTTTCACGCTTCGTTTTCCCTATTCTTTGGAGTTATGTAATTTTTTAAAAGCCCTCTCCTTTTTTTAAAAAAATTATTTTTCTTTTTTCTTAGTAAGAGAATTTTTTGTCTTTTGATTATCCACGAATCTTTTATTACGTTATTTTCATGATTCTTCTTCGATCTTGTCGAGTTTTTTTTTCTTTTACATCCTTCAAAGTTTTCTCTATCTTTTTCATTGCTTTTTATTTTCGCAATATCCCGCGTTTTTCCAAGCTACGACTAATTGCCACTCGCTTTTTCCGTTCACGAATGCAACACGGTGACCGCGTTACATCGTCACCATTCGCACACTTATTTGCGTGTCATCTCAACTCAGCGTACTCTCCCTGAGACGTATTGTTCTATTGTACGTCCTCCTCTGTCTCAAATCTTTCGCTCATTTGCTTACCTCTCAAGATTTTTAAGAAATTTCTAATTACAGACGTATAACCGATTGTAAATATACATAACACAAGAGGATTGAAACAATGAAAAAATAATGCTTCCATCTTGCGAAACTTGGTAATACAAAGAATAGATACGAATTTCTTTAAATCGAATTACTTTAAGTAAGTCAGATATTCTTACCACGAATATTTGCACGCGCATCATGCTAGGTCATCGAATGAAAATTACATTAGAAATTGATTCTGCGAAAGGGAATTCACAAGAAAGTGGTATTCGCTTTTTTTCTTCGCCTCCCGAAACAAGTTAATCCTCCCTTTCCAATTCAATTTCACGTGAACGGCCGCTAATGTTCTTACCGAGGTGTCTCGATGCATTACAAAGTCGATTAGAAAATGTAAGAAAAGCCGAGCGCAAAACTTTGTTCCGCTCTGTTGCGCCCCGAAGATCGCGCGATGCCGCTCTGACAGGCGTTAAAATCACTCGAGAGCGTGACGTTCGAATGCACCAGATGCGCATCGCGTGCACTGGGCGTTCATGATTGCAAATTGCGGGAAACGTTGGAAAGCATCCGGGGCTGTCGCATGCCCCAACGTGTTCCTCCATTTTTCTTGCCACGGTGTCGAGCCACTCACGCGGAAACTGCAGTCTTACTTAATCGCCAATTAAACTGGTGTAACTTTGAGGTATTTGCGGTTCTCGCGGGTCGATTCGCGTAATATGATCGTTTGCGAATTCGATTAAACGAAATTAACTTACGCGTTAGGAATTAAATTGCTTCCGTGTTTATTGGTTTTATCTCCACGGTTATTTCATTCTTATCGTAGTTTTATACATTTTTTTTTAATTCTTCTATATACTTGTTCATTTTTCTATATATATTATGTATAGAAAATGTGAGAAAATATAAATTTTTTAAAACTGCACGATCAAAACTGCACGTTGAAAAATTTGGACTTTTAAAGTCATGTTTATCATATACTTTTTATAAGATATTGAATCAGTACTAGTGAATATTATTTTTAATTTTTCAACAATTATATGATCGGTATGTGTTATTTAATATCGAATCACGAGGATATTGACTTCAGATTATATTCTCCTCGATTTAGCTATTTACTCTTTCTATTAAATTTAAATTATTTTTAATTAATTACCAAGAAGTAATTTAATTTTTGCAATCGTTCTTCTGCTCTCGTTCTCGTTCCTAACCTCAAAGAAGTCGAACCGAATATTAATTATAGTTACAAGCTAATTCCACCAGTCTCCTCCAATTACAAATCCCTAATTTCCGTGTTCAAATTTCTTCCCTGCCACGCTCGTAGCCCCGTTTTCGTGTTATTAATCGCCGCGGCGAGAGAAATCAACGTTACACCGTCTCGCAACCGACGTAATTGGATTCGAGCTTAATACATTTATAATGCAAAGTTATTAACCTAACTAACGTATGATCGCTGCAATTACGTGGTTGTGGATTTTGCCGTCTTAACGAGCGATCTTGAGAAATATCCCTGACGAAAGAGAATCCAGTGGGCCTTTAAGCCCCAAATGGATCATCCTGGGATCGAACCATCTTTATGTTTCACGCTCGTTCAACAACCTATTTATTTATCTTTATTCACATTTGTTGTCGGTAACCCATTACGTAAAACACCCGCAGAAATTCAACCATTCGAATTATCGTCGAATTTGTACAGGTAATAATAAAAATCGTTGCCACAAAGTAAAATATTACAGATAGTAAAATATTACAGTATTGGAAATTAAGTAACGTGACCCATTTTTAAAGAGAAATCAATAACAAATATTAATTATTCGTACTATTTTTAATATCTTGTAAAAAAAATATATTCATTAAGAAAATATAATAATAAATTTTTAACTTTAAATGTAAGGCAAAAATTAAATTTAACAAGATATTTTTTTCTAATAATCTTTGTTTTACAACCATTACAAGAAAAAACATTGACTGTTTTTCAAACTCCTTCAGAATTATATTTAATCATTCAATTTTCTGTCAATACAACGATACCAGATTTCTAATAAAAATATAAAGAAAAACGAAAATTAGATATAATTTATAACAACATACGAGCAATATCTTGACGCTGAAAATTTAAATTGAAAATTTTATTTCTGCAACCTGTAGTTTTCAGTAAGCTAAAGCTTATATACTCTTCGATATAAGAATGCATTATCTAACTTCTCTCTATCGCATTTCCAACTTCGAAACGCGCCACGCGAATGAATAATAAAAACACGTTAAACCGTGATTCAATAGTGTTCGTATCGTACAATGGGACTCGTTAAATGGAGGAGATAAAAGGGAACCGATCGGTGAGAGAGGTAGACAAAGAATATGATTTCGTTTTCATATTCCGGGGACGGGCGAGGCGACGAGCATGGCAATGAGCTTCGGCCAACGTT